CTTGGTATCCTGTAATACCACGTACATCTAGGTAACCAATAACATGGGGAACTAGATATTGTACAATATCAGAAACTCAGAAGTGCTATATGTATCTTGGTACCCTGTAATACCACGTACATCTAGGTAACCAATAACATGGGGAACTAGATATTGTACAATATCAGAAACTCAGAAGTGCTATATGTATCTTGGTACCCTGTAATACCACGTACATCTAGATAACCAATAACATGGGGAACTGGATATTGTACAATATCAGAAACTCAGAAGTGCTATATGTATCTTGGTACCCTGTAATACGACGTACATCTAGGTAACCAATAACATGGGGAACTAGATATTGTACAACCTGTATCTTGGTATCCTGTAATAGCACGTACATCTAGGTAACCAATAACATGGGGAACTAGATATTGTACAATATCAGAAACTCAGAAGTGCTATATGTATCTTGGTATCCTGTAATACGACGTACATCTAGGTAACCAATAACATGGGGAACTAGATATTGTACAACCTGTATCTTGGTATCCTGTAATAGCACATACATCTAGGTAACCAATAACATGGGGAACTAGATATTGTACAACATCAGAAACTCAGAAGTGCTATGTGTATCTTGGTATCCTGTAATACCATTTACATCTAGGTAACCAATAACATGGGGAACTAGTTATCGTACAATATCAGAAACTCAGAAGTGCTATATGTATCTTGGTATCCTGTAATACCATGTACATCTAGGTAACCAATAACATGGGGAACTAGATATTGTACAATATCAGAAACTCAGAAGTGCTATATGTATCTTGGTACCCTGTAGCAAAGTAATAAACTAATACCAGGGTATCTTCTAGTATCTTCTAACATAGCCTATAATATTACGTTTAATAAGGTCATATGCAACACAAGTGACAAAAAAGTATAATATGCATGAACAAATCATGTAACTAGGGATCATAAAAGTACCATCTACATCTAGTTATTCTTAAATGTAACACAAATACTACATGTACTATGTACATCAAAGTATCTTATAATACAGCTATAAACACAATAATATTACGTACACCTATGGATCCTGTAGCACACAACTATTCACTACTAAATATTTCATTCTTTACGTATAAAATTACAAAAATTTACTTTAAAATTACAAATCCACATAAAAAGGGCTTACTGTAAAATAATACTTTATAATATCTTAGTGAATGACTTTCTAAATGTGACAAACGTTTTTCTTGTAAACTGAAACAAACATGTAATAAAACTAAAATTCAGTTTACACTGCAATAAATTATTGCCAAGATACTTATTAAACTAAATTGTAAGTAAAATGTATACAATGTTCAAGAAGCATCAACTTTAATTATTAATATTAGATGAATGATTATTAACAAAAATTTCACCTTTGTCTCTTTCTTGGCCTGCTCTTCCTCCTCTAATGGTTTCAGATCACCCCAGTCAGGATCCTGTTTTCCTTTTCCCCACTTGGCGTACTGCCTATCAGGATTATTTTTTACTGTTAATAAGTACTTGTTAGTAATAAACATAGATGTAAAAGAACAGTGAGTACAAAAATAGAAACTTATACGTGCTACAAACTTTATGTAAAATGTATAATAAAAAACTTAATACGTAACTGGAAACACAAACATTTACGGGATTTACCAACAACATTTTTAGAGAGTCTTGCATCACAATTGTGCCTTAAAGGATACTTACACCTACATCTTCACAAATATTTACTTTTACACAAGAGATACTAAACTATTTGAAGCCACAACATCCATAAGGAGAAATTTTGAACTGACATCAAGATATTGAAATATAAACCCCACCTATGTTTCAACATTGTTCTGAAGTCCATTCCACCTTCACCTATATGTACGTAGAGATAAAAAAAAATAAGAGAATTTAACAAATACATTTTTACTAGATACAAATAGATTTAAATAAGGAAAAATTATAAATTATATTTAAGGATTAATAATAAATACATCACTGTGTAAAAATGGTAAAAACAATTATTTTATCATACACCTTTAACATTAACTGACAAATACTTAGTATAATTATCTGGTGACAAATGATAAAAAAGAAAAGAAAACGTCTTTAAGATCAATGATGAGCAAATAATCACTACTAATAAATAAGGTTAAATAATATTTTCAGAGAGAATCCCGATAAACAATAATAAGAAAGAAGAATATGGACATTAAAGTCATGAGAAATCATAAACAAGAATCTGCAAAAAATAATTATGACTTACTACTGATAAACAACAAAGATTTACAAAGAACAGACGTATTATTGAGAAACATGAGATTGTGAAATACAGAGTAAAGAGACATAAAACACAGAAGCATATAGAAAATGACTACTCACTATTTACCTAATAGCATTCATAAACATTGAAAAAAAATAAATATTGTCTAAAAAGGTTTATTAAAGATCCAGGAATAACAAACAAACTAATAAACCAATTATATTAAAACTGAAGACTCACTGCTGACAAACAAAGACATGTTGATACTATCCTCTCCATGTTTGTTGTAGGCAACTACCTTGTAACGACCCTCATCTGTTGATTTAGCCTTGCGAATACAGAAAAACACATTGTTGGTTTCTCCATCAGTGACCACTTTGTAACGCCCACCTTCAAAAATTTCTGACACACCTTTATAAAAGCGGAATTCTGGGACTGGGTTGCCTTCTACCTCAAATGCCAAGTATGCTGTCTGACCTAAACAAATGAAAAAGTCAGTTATAATACAATGTATGCTTCTTGCATAGTACAAAACTTAAAGAAGGATAAGTCTAGTTATTGTTAGATGGATGATCAAAAGTTTAATTATATACATTTTCCTAAAAACACAAAATTTCTGTGATGCAATTGCAATTAAACCTTAAGATGCATATCAATATTACACTTTCCTGAAGAAAAGGAATTTTAAAGCATGTTGATTTAAGTTTTAGTTTCAACTTCAAATCAATCTAGTTTTGATTATTTTAGGTTTCATGAAAACTACAAAAAAGTTCTAAAACCAGTACTATCATTTTTAACTGTTTGGAATACGTTTCCAAATAAATAATTCTATTACAGAAACAGCTCCCAATAATGAACACAAATTTTCAAGTGCATGCAGTATAATTTTTTTATTTTATTCAAGTCTTATCAAAGTTATTAAACATTTTGGCTTTCAAAGAAACCTAGTAACCTAGTTTTGGCAACATGTTTTTAACTGTCAGAAGCTTTAACATTGTTGTAAGACTGGGAAATTATAAGTAATATTACCTTTTATATGAAAAACAAACTATCAATTCATTGGTTGCTCATAGTGCTTATCTGCCAGTGTAACATTTATTTTACATTATAAACTATAGAAAGCATATCATCCATTTTATTACTAGAATTGTAACCTAATACTTATCAGAGCACGCTAACAAAAATATCACATGAGGGCACAACTTACTACTGCACTTCTAAAAGTTAATGGAAGGTATCAAACTCAATTATAAAATCTATACAATGTAACCAAAGATTAAAATTTACACATCTTTCAGCTAAAAACTCAGAAGTTGACATTTTATTAACATCAACTTTATTTTATCTTTCCATCCCACATTGTACACCAATCACATTCTTCAAAACAGAATCCACTGTCAAGATTTAACTTTTAATGTTCATACACGTTATATTAATGCTTTATCTGATGTTAAAATGTGACTTATAAATGTACAGCAAAACATAAACTTAAAAACAAATTTTTTGTACCATGAAAAGCAATATTTTTAAAAATGTGAATGACATTGGGTAAAACCTTAAATTGTAGGATTTTGATTTTATTCAGGAAAAAACTTGGTGAGACTTGTACTCAAGAAGCCTCTCCAGTCATTGTTACTCTGGAAATAGTTCACAAGACTGTCAAGAAGAGTGTTATGTATTGGTGATGTCAATGTTGTGAAGTATCAGAGGTTAAGTGCCCTAAATTTGGTATAATGGTCGTAGACTTTACCTTCCACAGCTGACACGTTCTCCTGATAATCCACAAAGGCTGGAGGACCCTCTTCTTCTTCAGGAACAGGGCGAAGAGGAGTTGATTTTTTATCAACACGCTCGTCAATGTCTTGAATACTAAGAATTATAATAGATGTTATCTTAACAAAATTGACGTATTAAAGCATTCCTTCTGTAAAGGTTAAAAACATTTAGGATAATGTACGATTATGAAAAATAAATTAAAATGACTTCAGTTTATACTTTGCAAAAGTCAAACAAAAAAACAGTTTACAATAAATGTCACATACTGTGTAAAATAATCAATATAATTAAAAATATAAATTTAATAAAAGTTTATGTGCACAGAAAAAAAACAACTGTAACTCTTGTTTAGATAACATGATTATACATAAAATGTGTTTAAAAATGTTTTTATCATATATATTTCATAAAAGATTTATAAACACTTCTGAAGAGTGAATTACTACAAAAGTGTTCTAGTTATGTAAAACTTTTTCACCAATACCTACACAGAATATGAATAGTGCAGTCATAAGGGGGAAAAAAACAACCAGGGGAATCATCTTGGAATATATACTTGAATCAAGTTTAGGTTGTACAATATATACTTGAATCAAGTTTAGGTTGTACAATATATACTTGAATCAAGTTTAGGATGTACTAATTTCCACTTACCTTTGTTTCCGCATATCAGCACTGGTCTTTCGCTTCTGTCTCACTTCTAACATTTCACCAGGACGGAGCTTCTTAGTTTTGCCAGATTCATCAACAAGTAACCCTTTCTACAAAACAGAAACATACAATTTAAACATTTTTACCACAACTGTCAGTCAGAAGAATCTCATAATAAAAGTAAAGAATTCATTCAACCCAAATTTCAAATTTGATAACAAAAAAAAATATTGAAAATAATGAAGACATGATAAGCATTTATTAACTCCAGATATAAAATACCTTAATATAAACTTGAAATATTATTCACAAAACATTAAATATACTAATTAACAATATCATATCTTTTGTCCACATAACTATAGAAAACAAAGTTTTAAACACTTTATTTAAATTTAAGTACATCCATACATCATCAGCTACAATAATAGAAGATCTCCAAGATCCACTGGGACTAATAAATGGCTGTTCTAAAGTAGCAGATCCCCTTCTGCTCCCAGTAGCACTGCCTGAAGTTTTAAACACTTTATTTAAATTTAAGTACATCCATACCTCATCAGCTATAATGATAGAAGATCTCCGAGATCCACTGGGACTAATAAGTGGCTGTTCTAAAGTAGCAGATCCCCTTCTGCTCCCAGTAACACTGCCTGAAGTTTTAAACACTTTATTTAAATTTAAGTACATCCATACCTCATCAGCTACAATAATAGATCTCCGAGATCCACTGGGACTAATAAGTGGCTGTTCTAAAGTAGCAGATCTCCTTCTGCTCCCAGTAGCACTGCCTGAAATTTTAAACACTTTATTTAAATTTAAGTACATCCATACCTCATCAGCTACAATGATAGAAGATCTCCGAGATCCACTGGGACTAATAAGTGGCTGTTCTAAAGTAGCAGATCCCCTTCTGCTCCCAGTAGCACTGCCTGGTTCAAGAGAGTCCTTCCGTGCTGGTTCGGGTGTAGGCTCTTTAACAATGACTGGAACGTCTAGGTCTCCCTCTTGTTTTGTATTTTTACTATCCTTCACCGTGATTTTTGGAGCTTCTTCCTTTTCTTTTTTCTCCTTAGGCTTGGTTTTAAGCTTCTTCTCTTCAGTGGGTTTTACCTCAGGTTCAGGCTAAAATAACATATATATAAAATTTAATGAAGTCTTAACAGAACACAGTTTGCTTACATGTAAATAACTCCAAGTTATGATAACAGAAAACAATTAGTGTTTAAGTTATGAAACATGTAAAGTTAAAGTGCTTCTAGTGAACAAACAAAATACTCAATACATGAAAAATTCAATAATCCAATAATATTATCTTTACATAATCTTTAAAATATTCCAAGAGAGATGGTTAGAAATTGTTAATGACTATCTGTATCATAAAATGTAGTTCTTAAATATGTCATTCTGCTATTTACTTCATTTAAATTAAAGAAAATTTGCTACATCTTGTATAAGCCACCAGTTACGAGCCAAGTTTTTAACAGTAAATAATAGAAAAACATAAAATTGTGAATTTTTTTAATACATAAGAGAATATAAATACATCTTTGTTTAAAGTTAGTATAAGATGGATAACAATTTTGTAAAGAAGACAATTTCAATATATCAGGTTTTTTTTAAATATATGACATATACTGATATCTCCAAATTGTACAAAAGTCAAACAGATCACACTCCAGAGATAGATAAAGCTGACTGAAGCAGAGAAGAGAAAGTAAAAAAAAGCGTAGATTTTAGAATAAATCTGAAACCGAGAGAAAGAGAGAGGAAATATTTTTAAGATCAGTGCTTCTTTAATGAAGAAAAACACTAAAAAATTGTTTTTCAAACTGTATTTTAACTGAAAGCATTATATGATGATGTAAGAAAACACAGTTTGTAAATAAAATCAAAGCAAAATATATACATATACATACACGCATATATGCATGCATAATATAAATATATAAATAACTATTTTTAGCTGACTTAAATAGTTATATATATATATATATATATATATATAAC